TGTCCCTAATCACGAAGAGGAGGAAATTCAGGAGCTGCTTGATCGATGGCAGCGTAATAGGTATAAGGCTATGTAAGATAGGCGTATGCCGGCTAAGATATTAACCTGTAGTAGTAGCGAAGCTAACTACTACCCCTTAGGTAAGCGTGCCTTTTTATGCCGTAAGGTGGCCTGTTTGCAAACATTCCCGATAGAGTTTATATTCTCGATATCTAGTGTCTGTAAGTAGATTAGTAATATAGTACCGCCGATTTTAGCTAAAGCTCTATACATCGCTGTCGTTAAAACTCTGAAGGTAACTAATATATAGGAGCTAGCTAAGAGGGAGGAGTAGGACCGAGCCGCGTAAAGTGATAACTCGAGTGCGTAATGATATTTAGGACCTATAAAATAACTACGGGTGGTAAAGTTAGTAGGAGGTAAAGGCGGAGGCGGAGGCGGAGGCGGAGGTTATTAGATCGATAGGGTATATAAAATAGGCTAGGGAAGGAGGAGCTCCTAGCCTAAGGATGAGTAGTTATCTAGGATTGTAGGCTTTTATTTAATAGAATAAAATAACCCTTACTATTATCTTTGATTTACCTTTATCTTTGATTTACCTTTACCTTTAATTTACCTTTATCTTTGATTTACCTTTACCTTTGATTTACCTTTACCTTTGATTTACCTTTACCTTTAATTTACCTTTACCTTTGATTTACCTTTGCCTTTGATTTACCTTTACCTTTGATTTACCTTTACCTTTAATTTACCCTCGATTTACTAGAGGGGGCTATATAGAATATAAAGTATAAATTCCTATCTAAAGATAATACTAGGGTTAACTTACTAGTAAATAGCCGAAATAGCCTTATTAAACTCTTAGAGGATAAGATAGAGGGATCCATAGAACTCTAAATAAGTTACTACGCTATCGAAGCGGCCGAGATAGATCGAAACTACGTATTTATAGGCTTCTAGTCTAGCGGAGACACCGTAAACTATATCTTCCCCGTAACTTTACCCTATATAAGCCCTGTCCTTTATATATCTAAGGGGATATAGAAGATATCTTATCCGAGTTTTAGCAGATTCTTCGAAGAGAGGATTAGGCCTCGGTATTATAGCTAGCCTAATAAAGATACTAACCCCCTACTATACCGTTATAAACGCTAGGGCTTTTAACCTAGTATCTATACTACCGCCGTCCTTCTGAAGCTAGGTACTTCCTAATAATAGGATCTTAGAGTACTCGAGCTCTAAGCCTAATTTATCCTTATACTATATCCCTAGTAGGCTAACTAAGTACCTCCTAACTATACCCCCCTAGCCCTAAATCCTTTACTTAGCTATCTTCTAGAAGAAGATATAGGTAATATAGTATCTAGACTAGCTTAGGAGGGGATGTATAGCGTAGGGTAAGGATGACTGTTAATATATACTATAGCTTAGGGAGGAATTAGAGATATTAGTAAGTCGGCCTTATAGGCTATAGTAGTAGCCGATTTAGTACTTAGGTAGATAGTAGAGGTAGTAGAGAAGGAGCTAGCTAAGAGGGATAATCACCTTGCTAGGCTAGGGTTAATTAATATATATATATCTATATCCTAAGCTAATCTCTTATAGCCGTCGGGAAACTAAGTAGTAGGATATAGGGTAGGCTAATAAGTAAGGGTATTATGCGCCCGAGTCTAACTAGATAGGCTTGCTAAATAAATCGCTACCACTACGCGAGAAGACCTCCTCTAGGTAGTCGGTAGTTTTGTTATAGAAGGAACTTAGTAGGGAGGCTACTAAGGAGCCTATATATTTCGAGTCGTTACTTCGGGGCGGTGGCTATATAATAGGATATCCTAGGGGTTGATGCGATGTAGTAGGGGTTAGTAGATAGGGATCTGATAGTCGTAATGTAGTAAGTGCATCTGCTTCGTATAGGACGGCCGCGTCGTTAAATACCGAGTAATCCGAGAATTCGTTACTGTCGTAGCGATCGTCGAGGGGGCCTAGTGTCTCTACACTAAGATTACTACCTATACCCGGGAGGTCTAGGTCCTTTGGGATACCTATATCCGCGAGGTCTAAGAGGCCCTGCGTGCTTTCCTTGTCTAGGTCGTTGTATAGATCCGACTCTGCCTCGGAGTTGCCGCTCGTACTATTACCCTCTACCTCTGCTATCTCTTTATCCTCTGTAGTCGTGGTAGTAGGCGTTATATCCTTTTCTACGATTAGTTCCGTAATTATCCGCTTAGGATTTGTATATAGAAACGCCGAGAGTAATAGTTGACTAGACGGGACCTTAGGCGTATTTAGGTCTGGTAGCCCGAGCCGTTTTCGTATCTCCTAATCTCTTTCTTCTTTCTCCGCCTTCTTTTTCTTATTAGCGATACGCCTTGCTTCCCTTTCCTTAATATCCTTTACCCGGCGCTCTAGCTCCTCCTTACGGTCGATACGTCGTAGCTACGATGCGGTAAATGTGAACCGCTTCTTACTCCGTTGGTAGCGGCGGCGGACTGTACTAGATTTCTCGAGTATAATACGCTACGTCGGATCTAGTATAGTAGGGGGTAATAGTTATAGCGGCGATGGCCTACTAATTCCCTGTTTATAGGGGGTAGGCCGATAGGGGGGATTAGTAGGGGTCCCTTAGGGGGTACTTATAAGGGAGGTCGTAGTGTTAGAGTCTATAGCGATGTTAGGCCTGTTTACTCTAAATTAAATGGGTATAGAATTTAAATAATATAAACCTACTAAAAGAGATAATGGATGGATTGTATTTGAGAGTAGGCGGACTAGGTGTAGTGATAAGAGTTTTCGAATAGACTAGGCGAGGGTGTAAATCGAATGGACTAGTGGGTAACTAACTCGAATGGACTACTAGGTGACTAAATCGAATGGACTAGTGGGTGAGTAAATCGAATGGACTAGTGGGTGAGTAACTCGAATGGACTAGTGGGTGAGTAACTCGAATGGACTAGTGGGTGACTAACTCGAATGGATTACTAGGTGAGTAAATCGAATGGACTAGTGGGTGACTAAATCGAATGGACTAGTGGGTGACTAACTCGAATGGACTACTGGGTGACTAACTCGAATGGACTACTGGGTGACTAACTCGAATGGACTACTGGGTGAGTAAATCGAATGGACTAGTAGGTGACTAAATCGAATGGACTAGTGGGTGACTAAATCGAATAGACTACTAGGTAAGTAAATCGAATGGACCACTAGGTGAGTAACTCGAATAGACTACTGGGTAAGTAAATCGAATAGACTACTAGGTGAGTAACTTGAATAGACTACTAGGTGAGTAACTCGAATAGACTACTAGGTGAGTAACTTGAATAGACTACTAGGTAAGTAACTCGAATAGACTACTAGGTAAGTAACTCGAATAGACTACTAGGTAAGTAACTCGAATAGACTACTAGGTAAGTAACTCGAATAGACTACTGGGTGAGTAACTCGAATGGACTACTCGGTGAGTAACTCGAATAGACTACTAGGTAAGTAACTCGAATAGACTACTGGGTGAGTAACTTGAATAGACTACTAGGTGAGTAACTCGAATAGACTACTAGGTAAGTAAATCGAATAGACTACTAGGTAAGTAACTCGAATGGACTACTAGGTGAGTAACTCGAATAGACTACTAGGTAAGTAAATCGAATAGACTACTAGGTAAGTAACTCGAATAGACTACTAGGTGAGTAACTCGAATAGACTACTAGGTAAGTAACTCGAATAGACTACTAGGTAAGTAAATCGAATAGACTACTAGGTGAGTAACTCGAATAGACTACTAGGTAAGTAACTCGAATAGACTACTGGGTGAGTAAATCGAATAGACTACTAGGTAAGTAACTCGAATAGACTACTAGGTAAGTAACTCGAATAGATTATTGGGTAAGTAACTCGAATGGACTACTGGGTAAGTAACTCGAATAGACTACTAGGTAAGTAACTCGAATAGACTACTAGGTAAGTAACTCGAATAGACTACTAGGTGAGTAACTCGAATAGACTACTGGGTAAGTAACTCGAATGGACTACTAGGTAAGTAACTCGAATAGACTACTAGATGAGTAACTCGAATAGACTACTAGGTGAGTAACTCGAATGGACTACTAGGTAAGTAAATCGAATAGACTACTAGGTAAGTAACTCGAATAGACTACTGGGTGAGTAACTCGAATGGACTACTAGGTAAGTAACTCGAATAGACTACTAGGTAAGTAAATCGAATAGACTACTAGGTGAGTAACTCGAATAGACTACTAGGTAAGTAACTCGAATAGACTACTAGGTGAGTAACTCGAATAGACTACTAGGTAAGTAAATCGAATAGACTAGTCGGTAAGCAAATCGCCTAGACTTATATGTAGGAAAATTAAATGAAGTTTAGTATACTAAAGAACACCTTTACTATGACTATACTAGTTAAACTAGTATATATAATATCCTATTCTAGGATATACTATAGAATCTATCTAGTATCTGTAATTATCTAGATTAGACGATTCGAAAGGTTAACGTATAGTATCTAGACTATAATATAGAGCCTCTACATAGAGCCCTAGAAATCTAAACTATCCTTTCTACCCTCCCTGTAACTTTAATGCTACTAATTTAATATATATATTACCCTAAAGCTTATTTTTTATCGAGTTCTATTTAGTTATAATACTTTTAAACTAAGTAGTGAGTGTTTCCCTATTTTATAGGTAGTAGTACTCTGTAGATAGTAGAATATATATTTCTACCGGTCGCATTTTATAGGCGGTCACTCCCGTAATCGTACCCTATTAAAAATATTTCGCATTTTCAAAACCTCACTATAACCTCAATTTAATACTAATTCCTATTAGCTTATACTATTCTGTATAACACTGCTGACTCTCTAAACTGCCAAAATCTAAAGCCTATAGCTTACTAGGAAGGTTGAACAGAATGGAGTATAAAATCTAAATCGGAATAAACTAAAATCGGAAAAGTGGGGCTATATAAAATAAATCGGATCGACCCTATTCCACCAACCCCCATGGGATAGGGTCGTTCTGTTGATCAGACAGAACATCTTCAGATGATGCATCATCTTTCAATACTAGCTGGGATTTATTGGCTAAACAGCCTTGCAGAGTTATACACTGTACTTCTGCATTCACCGATTGCTTCGGTGATGTTTCGGTAACCAAACGGTCCCGAATCGGGAGCAATAAACTTGGGCTCCCGGTGTCTTTAAGGGCTAGATTTATCCTTCGAGATAATCCATCTGCAGGGTTTGTCTTACCTAGCCGGTGTTTGATTATAAAATCAAATGGAGATAGAAACATACACTAACGAGCTTGTCGCCCTGTTAACTTGGTCTGGCGTATGAATCCTCGTAGATTCTGATGATCTGATAACACTTCGATGGGGTATATTGAACCTTTAAAATAGTGTCGCCAGTGTTTAAATGACGAAATAATAGCGAATAGCTCTTGATCCGGCGTCGAGTAATTTAATTCAGCTCTATTGAATTTTCTCGACCAGAAAGTAATAGGGTGATAGCGCTTATCTTGACCTTCTTGAGACAGGATACTAGATATGCCGTGGTCTGATGCGTCTGTTTCTAATTTGATTGGCTATATTGGGTTAAAGTGTCGTAGTAACGACGCTGATTGAAATACGGCGATTAGGCGTCGAAACGCTATCTTTTCGCGGACATTCATCTTCACCGGGCCAGGTTTCCTCCCGTTTTTACTTCCCTTTAGTAAATCTGTTAAAGGAAGTGTAATAAGGGAGTAATATAGGATAAATCGACGGTAGAAGTTATAAAATCTAAGAAATACTTAGATATTATAGAACGTAGTAGGAAGCTCCTAAGATTTAATAGTGTCTACCCGCCGTTTATCTATCGAAACGCCCTTACGTCCGATGATAAAACCAAGGAATTCTACTTTATCTTAGTAGAAGGTGTATTTTAAAGGTTTTGCAAAAAGCTCCGCTTAGCGCATCCGTTCTAAGACTTAGTAGATATATTTAGTATAAGATTCTCGATCTTTCGAAAAGATCAAGATATTATCTAGATACGCTATATAAATAACATCGAGGAGACCTCGAAGCGCTGTATATATATAACTTTAAAATGTGGCCGGTGCATTAGTTAGGCTAAAAGGTATAACTAAGTATTTAAAGTGGCCGTATCGAGTACGAAACGCTGTCTTCTATTCGTCTCCCGTGTGGATACGAATTCGATAGTAAGCGTCTTTTATATCGATTTTGCTAAAGTACTAGGCTCTAGAGATCCTATCTAGGATTTCCGAAATAAGAGGTAAGGGATACCGATTCTTTACCGAAACTTGGTTAAGTCCGCGGTAGTCTATATATAAGCGTAAGCTACTATCCTTTTTTAGTATAAAGAGGATTAGTACGCTAGTAGGGCTCTGCGAAGGGCGGATTCGCCCTAGTTTCAGGTTCTTATCGATATAGTTTCGTAGCTCTTAGAGCTCTCGAACAGAAAGTGGGTAGATCGGTCCGTATAGGGGGGTTGTTCCGTCCTCGAGAGGAATTAAATGATCGGTTATTTTATTTAAAGGAAGGATCTTTATACTTTCCGATGTAAAATATCCTTAAATCGCTGTAGTTCCGGTAGTAATTCGGTATAGAGATCTTCCTTTTCGTAGATTTCTTGATCTCCTAGGAGCCAAATTTCTTCCGGGGTTTTTATAACTACAAAAACAGTTATATAATTTCGATATATTTTAGCAAATTTTCGAGGGTAGAAGTTAATAATTTTTTAGGTTTCAAACTACTACTGGTAGTTCGCTAGTAAAAGGTGTACGTTTAGGTCTCGAAATATAGTCATCGACAGGAGGATAGGACTTCCTTCTAGTCGGAAATCTCTATCGATAGCTATATAGGGCCTTTCGAAATTTTTGGTAGTTCCTCGACTATTAGTAATAGTAATAGGGACTTTCTAAATACCGTATAAGGGTATATTTCGTCGGTTAATCGCTTCTAATATCGGTACTAAAAGCTTTGCTTATTATAATCGATAGCGTTGAACGAATTACTAACTTACGATATTACATTCTACACCACTATTAAGGTCCGTATAGGTTTTAATCTTATTTCGGACCTTAATCGGTATATATAGTCGTGTGACTGTCCCTACTTAGGGGAATTGAGTTAAAGGCGTAGGGTTTAGTTTAACTCGGAGCCGTTTCCCTCTTGATCCGAGTGTGTTTCGAGAGATTGAATTTTAGAAGAATTCCTTTTAGGATATTTATTAGTAAGGTGTGAATCATCTTAACAAAAGTAGCAAACTAAGCGTTTGCTACTCCTTCCTATAGGGTTTCGGCCGTCTTTCGGTTTAGAATCAGATAAAGTTTGCTTTTGGCCTGACTCCTTATATTTATTAAACGGTTTAAATCGTCCCTTTTGCCTTTTGGGAGGTCTCCTTAGTAAACCGTCTCGTTTCGATATAGTATCGGGGGCTTTTCGTTTTCGATCCCCGTAAAACATTTCCTAATAATATATTGCAATAGCGACTATTTCCTTACGAGTTTTTAGTAGATCTTGACGATATTTTAATATTTTATCACGTAATAGATTACTAAGTTTAGCGAAAAAGTTTAGGCTTAGCTCGTTTTCGTCAAGTTTTGGGAAATAAGATTCTAGAGTATCGAGTTCGTTATAAAACTCCCTTGGATCTTAGTCGTTTCGGTGTCGTAACACCTTATATTTGATTTTTATATCCGCCTTAAGAGTAAGGGCGTTTTGAATAAGGGTTATTGTCTATTCTTCGAAATGATCCTAGGAGTTTTTAACGTTTCGTCGTTTAATCGGGTCCTTTCCCTTAGTGTAACGGTACTATTTCTGTCTGCATGAATGGTCTATATAAGTAACCGCTTTAAGAATACGTTTATAGTCGGTCTTAAAACGCTTTAGAGATATCTTAAAGGTGAATTCTTGGTCGTTAAGCCAGTCTTGACGTTGTTGTATAGTAAATTTATAAGTGAAGACTGGAATGTTTTTGATTCTGATATTATTTCTTCCTTTATTAGCGGAAGAGTGGCTTTTCGGGGATGACTCGCGACCGTCTAGGTCTAAGACTTGTGTCTGAAGGTCTTAAAGTCTTTCTTTTAATCTCTTCTGCTGCTTAAGTAGATTGATACGCTCCCGAATCTGTCTTGTTTCTGTATAGATTCGGTCGATATCCGTAGTTATCGTATTTTTAGATGACTCTAGGCCAGATACAGCGATATTGCTAGTTTCGCTAATAGGTTCTGACGCTGGATTTCCGCGATCGTTTTGCCTAGCGCTTTGCCGGGTTACCGGTCGGAGGTTCGATAATGGTAGGGCTATCTTTTCCTTAGGTAATCGAAGAAGAAGATTCAGAAATTGTAATGGTATAACTACTTGTCAGGGTAGCCAGCCTGTCGATTAGGTAAAGAATTAATGGCGAATAGACAATAAAGCGAGGCTGATGTAGTTTTACTGTTGTTCCTTTTCAAAACTGAATCTTGCCGATTCAGATTGAAAGGAAACGGAGCACTCTCTTTTATTAGGGAATAACGATACAGAGTGATGATGAAGAATGACATAACCACTTTTAATATCAACGCTTCCGCATATCAGACTAATACGCAATCCTTCACATAAGCTTAGTGAGATAGAAAGAATAGGGAAGCTAGAAGATGATACCTATCTAATAGATGAATGGAAGCCTAAGGCACTATTAAGATCTGCCTTTCGGAAGGCGGAGTGGAAATTTGATACAGAGGTTATTGGGGGATCACTAGTTTTCTACTATTTTGCCTTAGGATATTGGCAGAAGCATGGGTGGTCTTAGGGTAGTAGTTTTTAGGGTTAATATAGCTAGTTTAGTCAGATAGTAGGCCTGATAAGCCTAATAGAATGATATAACTACTAAACCTAGGTGCAATATATATAGAGTAATGAGGTATAGGCTAACTAGCTAGACCAGGGCCGACCTAGCTAGACCAGGGCAGACCTAGCTAGACCAGGGCAGACCTGGCTAGACAGACCGGCCAGACACACCAGCCAGACACACTAGCCAGATACACTAGCCAGACACATTAGCCAGACCAGGGCAAACCAGGGCAGACCTGGCTAGACCAGGGCAGACCTGACTAGATAGACCGGCCAGACACACTGGCCAGACACACTAGCTAGACCAACACCATATTGGCCAACTAGCAGGGCCAGACTCGCCAGACACACTGGCCAGACCAGGGCAGACCTAGATAGACCAGGGCAGACCTGGCTGGAAACACCGGCCAGACCAGGTCAGACCTGGCTAGACACACCGGCCAGACACACTAGCTAGACCAACACCATATTGGCTAACTGGCAGGGCCAGACACACCAGACACACCTGCCAGACACACTAGCTAGACCAACACCATATTGGCTAACTGGCAGGGCCAGACACACCAGACACACCGGCCAGACACACTAGCCAGACACACACTATATTGGTCAACTGGCAGGGCCAGACACACCAGACACACTGGCCAGACACACTAGACACACTGGCCAGACACACTAGCCAGACACACACCATATTGGTCAACTGGCAGGGCCAGACACACCAGACACACTGGCCAGACACACTAGACACACTGGCCAGACACACTAGACACACTGGCCAGACACACTAGCCAGACACACACCATATTGGTCAACTGGCAGGGCCGGAGACGCCAGACACACTGGCTAGACACACTAGACACACTGGCCAGACACACACTATATTGGTCAACTGGCAGGGCCAGACCGGCCAGACACACTAGCCAGACACACTGGCCAGACACACCAGACACACTGGCCAGACACACACTATATTGGTCAACTGGCAGGGCCAGACCGGCCAGACACACTAGCCAGACACACTGGCCAGACACACCAGACACACTGGCCAGACACACACTATATTGGTCAACTGGCAGGGCCAGACACACCAGACACACTAGCCAGACACACACTATATTGGTCAACTGGCAGGGCCAGACACACCAGACACACTAGCCAGACACACACTATATTGGTCAACTGGCAGGGCCAGACACACCAGACACACTGGCCAGACAGACCGGCCAGACACACCGGCCAGGCACACCGGCCAGGGATACCAGACACACTGGCCAGACACACTGGCTAGACACACACCATATCGGTCAACTGGCAGGGCCAGACACACTAGACACACTAGCTAGAGACACTGGCCAGACACACTAGACACACTGGCCAGACACACTGGCTAGACACACACCATATCGGTCAACTGGCAGGACCAGACACACCAGACACACTGGCTAGACACACTAGCTAGACACACTGGCTAGACATATACCATATTGGTCAACTGGTAGGGCCAGACACACCAGACACACTAGCCAGACACACACCATATTAGTCAACTAGCAGGGCCGGACACGCCAGACACACTAGCCAGACAGACCAGCCAGACAGACCAGCTAGACACACTAGCCAGACACACTGGCTAGACACACCAGCCAGACACACTGGCTAGATAGACCGGCTAGACATACTGGCTAGACAGACCGGCTAGACACACTAGCTAAAAACACTAGCTAGACAGACCTAATAGACCAATACTATCTAGGCTAACTAGTAGGGTTAGACCAGCTAGATAGACCAGCTAGTAAAATCATAGCTTAACTAGTGATCCTAATATAATTAAAATATTTATATAGTATAGAGAGTCTCTAGTTCTATCTAGCCTAGCTTAGCTAGTAGTAATATCTTACCTAGGAAGATAGTTATTAGTAAACCCTTACTACCCTAGCTACGAAGCATAGAACCCTTGACTGCCTAATCTCTAAGGTATAGAATATATGCTTAGGAAAGGTAGCCAAAAGGGGAATAGCCTATCCGTACCTAGAGGTCTTGGTATCCCCTATCAAAAAATAATTCCTCTAACCCCAACACTCCGATATTAGCCCCTTCTAGATAGTTTTCCTAAAATATTTTTTAATATCTAGATCGATTAGGCTCTATTATTAAAAGATTAAAAAAGAGCGACCAAAAAATATTAATATTTAGGGTAGTTAGGGGGGGGGGTACGTATTTAACTCGTACCCCCCCCCCCTTAGACCCACTCCTTAACTATGATACCCCCCCCCCTACGGGCGCGACTACATTTAGGGTTTCCAGCGGCCCTAGGCGGGCGGGTGCGACGTACGATACACCGTTCGAGAGCGCGAAGCGCGACGGATCTAACGACGGTGGTCCGGTCGCGGTGCGAGGGGCGGTCGTGGCGGGAGGGGCGACGGCGGTCGCCGGCGGGGGGGTGCGGGATCATAGCGAAACGGGCCGGCGGGGGCGGTGGCACCGTGCTTATAGGACACTATACCTACAGAAGATTCACAACCGGGTACGAAAGAATTCTTATTTTGCCCGCTCCTAGCTCATCCCTTCCTATAGCTCACGACGCGCCTACGCTTAGCCATCTCCAGCTGACAGAACCCCGATCTTTGTCCAAACTCTGGGACTAACCCCTATCCCGGTGACATGAAATGCCCTATGTGGTGAAACGCCCGTTCGGTACCTACACATTCGAGCACCGTCACTCCTAATCAACATATTAAATATTGCCTGAGTGCCATAGATGTAATGGCGATCTGATTGTTTATTTGATCGCGCTTTTCAAACAAAATTACAAAGTGTTAAAGTGGCCTATTACAGGACGACATCCACTACTAGAGAATCCGCTGTTTACTACTATAACGCCAAGATTACCCACAAAAACATCTGAGATGGATGAGAAAAACATTTTTGCATTATTTCGCGTACTTGGTTAACTATGTTGAACTTTTGTATAATTATAATCATCTTGGCTGATGATATACCAATTTTGGTGGAATTCTTGGCAGCTGAAAGGTACATAAAACAAAAATACCGATAAGGCGATTACACGGGAAAGGCGTAATTTTATGTATACAAAATACTAGCATAAAAAATACCAGCGCCACTAAACGGAAGAAACAGCCGCCCCACAACGATGTCCGCAAGTAGGACATGGCCTGCTTGAAGGAAACATAACTCTAGTAGACCTACTTCGCGACTGCATCAAACTATGAGGCTCTACAAAAAAATCACCAAACATAGATATTATATCTGCATGTATGCTGTCGTTGCACTATATGCTATGGATACAGCTCTGGGATGATGAAGCCTCTTCACGTTTCCCGCGTTGGTCCAGGATGTCTAAAGAATATTGAGAGAAGTGACCGTTTAAGAGTGTTCACGTCCAGATACCTCTTCATATTTCTGGTGCCCGTCGATGCATCGCTTCTCACTCTTCATAACACATAGAATGAGGAAATTTTTTAAAAAACCAGCTCACATAAGAGACAGTGACACTGAAGGTACAGTGGATGGATGGATGGATGATTTCATTTAGATACAAGCTTGATACCCCTTTTCTATCCAGGGGCGGATATGACTACTTATAAACCTAACGGGTACCTTGATACTACCTCGCACAACAGCTACCTTGTGTCACCCCTATACTAGGACCTGGGATCCAACTTTGAGAGGGGTCAGCGTACATGAAATCATCCATCCATCCATCCATCCACTATAGCAGTATTCTCTTTTCAAGCCATCATGTCGAATTCTGTCAAAGTCACCCCTTGAACATCTGTCTTCCGTATCCTCACTGATCTTCCCAAAAACTGTAATCGTTCTTTAATACCCCCTCTCATCCCCTCATCTTGCTCATCAGGGTAGGTCAATATAACACGGCTCTTTCCCTTTTCCTCGCATCTCTTATTCATGAGCTCTGAATTAGACTCTGAACAAAGGATGGCAGTTTCAACAATCATACCCATGTACCCACATCGTTCTAATGGATAGGGATTCGACAGCAGATCAGCCGAAACAGGAAGGCTCTGCGGCTCCGACAACAAGAACGATGCCAGCTGGCCATTTATGCAGGCTTGATGAAGAGCCATTTCGTCTCCGCCCCGCGCGAAGAATTCAGTGTACATATGTCGAAGCGCCATTCGCTCTTGCGGTATCCGGCAATTGTAAAATCCATAGTCCACAGCGACAGCCTGCATCGGTTCTGCGGCCGGTAATCGAGTAAAGCGCTTTAATTCCCAAACGCTCTGGTGCCATGTTCCGACGATGTTCATGAGGGATCCAAAATTGCGCAGCTCCGCGATGGCGTGCCCTAGGCCGTACTTGTCGAACAACCCGATCATATCGGACTGTTCCATGGCCTTCCAGAACTCTTGGAATTTGCATCTGTTAATAAGCATCCTGTAGAGCCTTGCTAGCATTTGAACAGCATTGTGATCTCGAGCCGTACAGAAGCCAAGGAAAATCCAATTATCTTCGTCTGCATCTGGGACGAATCCGTTAAGAATTTGATAGATGAACATGTATGCCTCGAGTTTTTCTCGCGGCTTCCACTGAGCGAATGGGATTTTACGATCCCCTGGTTCGAGTAAATGCAGTAGCGATTCAAACTCGATATCGTAGTCTGCGCCGGCAGCGAAGCCATCCTGCTGATTTAACCAATACATTTCTCGTTGAAGTGAGGGAGAGCGTATCTGAGAGCCGCGGAAGAGGAGAAACTCTTTCAGTTTATTGCTTCGCCATGCCTCTCGGAGTTCGTCCTCTGTGACTCCATAGTTATTCACTAGCTGGCAATATATGTGAAAGATCCTTTGTCGGTCGATGGCGGATGCAAAACTTAGGAAGCCAAAGGCCTTTGCCACGTTGTCCTCTGTAGGAAACTCCTTTCGCTGGCAGGCACGAATGAAGTAGTCCGCCTCATCTAACGGTCTTCCGAGCAGACAGGAAAACTTGTGCTCAGACCAGTGCAAGGTTTGGCACATTTTAGTGCAGTATAGTGGCCTGTCACATTTTGAGCAGGGGGTCGGTGAAGTTACTGTGGTACGACATCGGGCGCAAGACCCGGATATCAGCTGGGGTCCAGTCAACTCTAGCGGTTGTATCTTGTCTTTCTCCGTAACATCCGATATCTCAGGGGTATCTAATTGACTTTGGTTGGCCCTATAGTAGAGATTAGTGTCTGCTAGTATTAAATATTAAGCCTCGTACCTTCCAGCCATTGCCCTTGAGCTGTAGGCTGACAGCCACTCCGCCTGTCTTGCAAGGGTTCTAGGATCCGGGATATGGCGATTGAATGGGGACCATGTCTCTATTTTCGATGCCACTGGAGTTGAAATAGTTGACTCCTTGACCGCATTGACGCGTTGGGCATCATCAACAGTACACTCATGCCGCAGTATATCTCGGAGATTCTGAACCACAGGATCAAGTTTGCGTTGATATGAGGACGGGACAACTAGGGAGCTGGGTAAAGTCCATTGGGAATAAACTTTGCCATGGTTGCTGCGCACTTGAAAAAGATCCAAGCCCTGCAAAATGTGGCCACACATAAAGCAAGTCTTTTTGCTGATACCAAGATATAGAAAGGTTTGAGCTACACTGCCCTCGCTAATAAGATGGGTGACCATTCCCATTTCAGCATGGATCCATTTCTTCTTTTGGAGTTGTGCCTCCAGCTTTTTCCGGTATTTGTTGGTTCGCATCATGGCTTGGGTGCATAAAGAGAGGCTCGGTGGAACCTGTTTCGCTTGAGATCCGGGGATGAGCGTAATATTTATGTTCTGGAAACCTTCGATCTCGCGTGCTGCTTCCCAAAAGGTATTGAAGGCGTATTTAGGACGACAAAGAAAACCCAGCTCACGGATAACTCTTTTGACCTGCGTTTCTGTAAACAGTCGATTGGTTTCAGAATAGAAAGTTGTACTGTAGCAAAGATCGTTCACAATGTTCACTAGGTCTGTTGAAGAGACCTCTCCTGAACGAAACGCCCTTAAACATGCATCTAGCTTCCACATTTCCTTCTTTTTGTCTATCAGAGAAAGAAGCTGTGACGCATGATACTTAAGGCGTGGAGTATAGTATTCGCTGAAAAGTGCTTGGAGGTCCGGTAAAGATTCCATATCTAGAGATTCTGGTATTCATTGCAAATTAGGCTTGTAGGACGGGTTTATGCTTTTCAATCAATCCATGGATGTTTGAAGAATACCTCTTTTCGCAACTAGTTCTAGCTGCCTCGCCATCTCCTCTAGAAGATTGATGTCCTGTTCCCCCCATATAGCATTCCTAAACGCAAGGATGGTTACTTCGTCATCAGTCTCCTGCATAGCTGTACAAGTTACATAGTGCGCGTCCTTTCTGTAGCAGAGGATCTCAGCCAACTTATCGAGGAACCGCATCTTTACCGACTTCAAAACCTCCTCCGTCAAAAAAGCCGCAGTTCTCGTTGAGGATTGTTTATCGTCATCCGTTTGCTCGTCATCTGAACCGTCCGTGTAGCCATCCTCTTCGTTCATATTTCTCTCCAAAGGAGCACGTTGTTGATGCCTGACTTGACAGATTGCAGCCAAGGTAGTGATATCTGATTCCATTTCTGCTGGGAGATGCCAAGAACTAGGTTCGTGGCTATCTGTCGGAGCAGATGAGGGAAGAATTTTGACGCGTTTCATTTTGTCATATACGTATCATGAATTGAACATTTGTGTCTCTTGTTGATTCTAGCACGTCCTCTTGAAAGAGGGGGGAGGGTAGGGTACTGTACATTATGCATGGAAAGACATCGAAACCCAAAGCTGCGCTTTCTATGTGGCTTGACTAGACTGGCCACACATGGAACAACACATCATACATATCAAGAATTTTAACGGTAAAAACCCTGCGGCCAATTCTTTCCCGGAGGACGGATCTCAAGGCCAGGGTCTGTGATCTGGAAATTCGAGGATCGTCGGCGCACGACGATCAAGGCGACCGATCGTAGAAACTTGACAGGAAGCAGGTAGCCGTTGTCTGCCAACCGCAAGACATATTCAACCAGGGCTTGCTCCTCTCGCTGGGTGAGATACTGCTGATTGGCGGCTTTATCGGCGATAGAAGGCTTGTTATTGGCCCGCTGCCGCAGGGTGGACGCGATCCCGGTCAATCTCGACCGAATTGGGTATGATGACCGCGCATGACGTTGACGGGCTGGAGACATCGAGGTCAGCTTTAGTAGAGTATCCTGTACGGCATCTAATTACTGCTTGAAATGAAGCCATTCAGACCGCGAGAGGGCATAGGAATATGAATACTGCGAATTACGCGGACACCGCCAAGAAAGTGGATTCCAGGACACGTTAGAAGTCTTGGGAAGGTCAAAACCTATTGAATCCCCAAGCGCGGATTCACATCCTGTTGGTACTGTAACTTTCGTTTATCTGTTGAGTGCCAAGCTTAGTTAGAATCAAATAATCGAATAATCGCGGAGTGCTTGACGTTCATTGTTAATTTCCACAAGTCTGTCGAGCATGGCGATGCTGTATTCAAAGTTGACCTCATAGCGTTTTTGACCGTTGAACAAAGAGGAAAATTGAATATTGTCAGTTGAGCAGAATAAACAGTCTTGAGCAAAAGTTGATGACGCGGCCAGGGTGGAAAAAGCAAAGGAGATACTTGACCGTCAACGGCCGAGCAAATACAGGTGGTACGTTCAACCGGGCAAATTTTCATCATTTGGCCTTTGTCACCTGGAGTGTTAAACAGTTATTCTTGGTGGGATTGGTCAAACCCCGCATCCTGCCTTGATGTGGGTCGCCAGTCACGTGGATTTCAGGGTCAAACGGATCCCCCGAGGAACAGGGAATTTTTTCGGTTCGCCCTGGAAACAGCCTCATTTATGTACCATCGTCCTCTCAATAGGCGCTAAGCCTAAAGCGGCTAGCACAGGCTGAGCCAAGGCTGATTAGTCTCGAATTACGGCACGTGATGTCAAGGTAAGACTTTGTACGGAGGGTGCTAAGCCATTTACAGTAAGTTAAAAGTTATTATAACCAACTTTTGTAGAACATAGACTTGAGATGGCAGCGACAGACGGATACACATGTTGTTTTTTCTCCCTGGGGTCTCCTTGAATTACTAGTTATACATGGCCTTTCGGTCTTCGTTATGGATCCTTTCCCCACAATAGCCGGTGGGCTATCGCAAACCTCCATTCCCTGATGATCACTTTGAAAAAGTCAAGAAATACCAACATCAGCAATAGGACGCCGGTTACACATCCAATCCAAGTGCTAAGCCAGTAGCAAATGGCAAATAATATGGCACTCGAAAATCTCCATCAGCATCGGAGACAGCGAGGTTTGACCTGCCTACAGTTCAGGAGAATCGAGGAAAACGCAAATGCAAATATCATGGGGCCTTGAATTCTAGCGAAGTACGCTCGATACTGATGATTCACACGCTGATAATGGCTTTTCCCCAAGAGAACAGGCGCGTAGTAGTTCAGTCGTGTCAATCGGATCTCTCCGTAATGATATCGTCCCGAAACTTCATTATCCGTGACGTCGTTGAAATGGGCTGTGAAGTGGCAGGACCCAGGTCAAGTCACGTCTTTAGAAACCAGGCACAGAGCCGGATCTTGTCCGATTCGTAGATCTGATTCAGTTTCACGTACCCGTCCTCACACGAGGCGCTAAGTCTAAAACAGCTAGCTTTGAGCTAAGCCGAGGAAAGTTCAGTTCAAATTACTGCACGTGATGTCAAGGGCAGGGGCACGGAGGGTGTCACAAGACATCAAGTGAAATGAAGGTTATGGTAATTAGCTTTTGTCGGAAAACAGCCTTTCGATAGCAATAGTTTGATGCTGTGCATGGCTTGAATAATCTTCATCAAGAAATGATTTGGGAGCAAGTTGCATTTGGCATGCAGCAGTATCTACGAAGTGATGATTGTAGGTGCTTGCTTGAACCACGTACGTGTTGGTTGATTCCGCCTTGCCAGCAAGGCTGAGGTGGCATAGCCTCGCTGATAACGATCAGGTTTTGGCAACTCAGCCTCACGTTCTTCTTCTTTGATTAAAGTCATGTATGATCTTCTGTACTAAAATTTATAATCAGCTTACTAGAAGTTCCATCCCGAAAGGATTCCCAGCTACCCCATTTATTTAAACAAGCACATTTTGTACCTCACTGAATAACCAGGCCTCCTGCTCCCCGAATATGGCATTATACGTGACAACCGCCATAACAGGGGCAACTATCGCCTTCCAGATCCTAGTTGCAGCTACTGACAGCTTCTGCGGCCTGTCAGGCCAGGACTCCATTGCGCGAGCGATCCTCGCACCGCTAGACTCGGCGGCCGGACTGCTTCTGATCTTAGCCCTTCTCCACTATTTTGAGTTTATCCACGGTGGCTTCTTTTTCTATCTCCCGCGCTGGACCCTGCTGCACACTCCAGATATCATGCAAGCGGTTCCAAATCTCGAGTTCCCGATCCGGACGGATTGGAGGCAGATCGAGAAGCCGACGAGGATAGCGCAGATACGGTGGAGGAGGACTCCTAACGAGGTTTGTAACACGTCTTTAGAGTAGACGAAGGTGTTACATGCTGATTTGTAGATGCTTAGGAAGCGACCGACTATGAGGTTATTCCCAATACGAGCCTGTTCATCGTTCCGTATATGAGGGCTTGGGTCTCCCCACGAGCCTCTGCTGCGAACCTGCTACAGCATGAGGTCGTGATGAGTAGGGCAAGCACAGGCGAAGCAGCAGCTCGATCCCTCGCCCAGTTTCTAACCGTGGTAACATGGAGCTCGATCATGTTTGCCGTACACAATGTCGTCCTCTGCTTCTACATCGACAATTGGAAAATCTATTTCGCTCTCGCGTTTGCAGGCCTTGGGCGCCTTCTGCTCACAGTCTTTCAAGCTTCAAGTATCTTCACATACTCGTGCCACTACAAGGGTGTCTGCACCTGGGCCTCGCCACCATTCTTCCGCTCAGATCAGTTCGAAGCCTGGACATGGGACCAGGTGAGACAGGATGCGTTCGCGGCATCGGTCCGCACGTGTCTCTGTCGCTGGGACTATCCCACCATAGCATTCCACCGCCTAGTGGAGCTTCTATGGAGCCCTGTCATCTCGTACATCGTCCCATGCCATCTCCCTGGCGCCTCGATGTACTCGATGTTCCGCAGCCCACCGCAAGATGAATATGCGACGGGTGGCCGTCTTGAAGTCAGGATTTCCGAGCGGACATCCAGCTCCGTCCGAGACGTGTTCAACATTCGATTCGTGGGTGTGCCAGAGGCCATTAAACTACTCCTGCGGGGCCCGCTGATTCCTTCTTATGAGGAGAAGATCCTGTTTGGCGGCTTGACTGCTTTGCTCGCTCTCGTGGGGATCGCGGAGCCCGTGGTTGTTGGGGTAATGGAAGCGAGCGGCGTCCCCAAAGCCTTATATCTGCTGGAACAGGCTGTTGTTGCGCTATTTCGGTATTATGATTTCTGTGGTAGTTCGATCAATACGGAAATTGGACCTAGTGTTCTGGTGCCGGGACCGCAGGGGGCGGATCCCGAGGTTGGGGGCCCGGGGCCCAGTACTAATCTGCCACAGGCATCGGGGCATATGATTGATGGAGAGCATAACGAACAGGACCTGGGTGTCCGTGAGGTCGAGTAAGCATGAGGCAAATATGTATCTTGATACTCGGTTTCTCCGGCGATGTGTTTCTTCTATCATGGGCAAGACTGTTTGAAATACAGGCCACAATACATGGACATAAAATATCTATACGCGGTGGTTTTTCCTCCCGCACTATACATCCTCATAATTTGATGCGGCCCCGAAACATTTCTACTAGAGTCATGGTTCCTTAATGCAGGCCATCTCCTAGTTGTAGGGTTGTGGGGCGGCTGTTCCATTGAACGGCGGTAGTATTTTTCATACATCAAGTTACATGATTGTTTCATTCCCGTGTATTCGCTTTATCTGTATTTTTGTTTGATGTACCTTTCTGCTGCGAAGAATTCCACCAAAAATGAAATATTTCTAAGTAACATAATTATGATGATATAAAAAGGTAATATAGGAGACCGGTTAGGCAAATTGATGCAATAGTGTCTTTATTATTATCTCAGTCGCTTTTGTGGACGATCTTGACGTCATAGTTGAAGACAGCGGATTTTCTGGTAGTTCGTGCTGTGTTGTAATCCGCTACTCTCACGCTTTGTAATTTTTATCTGAAAAGAGCTATCGAATAAAAAATCAAGAAAGATATTACTTCTACTGCTCTCAGGTGATATTCAATATGTGGATTGGGAATGACGGTGCTCGAATGTGCAGGTACCTAACGGGCGTTTCTTCACACAGGGCATTTCATGTCACCAGGATGGGGGTTACGTACATTGGGTCTGTGAGACAAGAAGGGTCAGGTACATACTTTAAACATGATGTGATCAACAATATCAGCTCGTGGCTAAACTCTTTTCTTGCAGAATAAGTGGCTTTTCAAATGCAGGACGCTTTTACGCACTTTCTGGGGCTTCTGAATGCCATAGGAATAAATAGATCCCTTCATCAGTGGCTTCATTATGGACAAGCCCTCTTTCCCTAAGTATCAAACGAGATAGCCTTGAATCACAGTCTCAAATGAGAATATAGCCAGCCTACATCCACTTGGATAATCTCTGTCCTTTTTAATCAATTATTTTTTGGATACTTTTTATTCACATAGGAGAGCAAATTCCATCGGCAGCGTACGCGTCTCACGATACCATTACAGTAACACCTCTTGTATCCTCACTCTGGGATTTGTCTTTCATTCAAAATCCACATGCGCCAATATTCAGCTGTGACAGCAAGGATATTGCTAGGATTTCGCTGACTATTCAGATCAAGGGAGGCTCCCAGATATTACTCTACGCTTCTACCTCGCTGCCCAACTCTTGCTGGGCCGTAGGGCCTCCCGTGTTAAGCTTCGTACCACGATGAAGTTAAGAAAGTATTAGTTGAGGTTAGGCCGCAGGAATAAGTTTAGTAAACATAAGAGTAAATGTAAGAGTAGCCTTAAATGAACCACAGTCCATTCATGAATTGTTTCTTAGACTCCGTTTTTCCAATTCACCACCTCAAATCTGGCTGAGATGGGAAAATGGATAGGGAGATACGTTGACGATGATGTGTTGACGATGATGTGTTGACGATGATGTCTTGACGGTGAGTGGTCACCGACCGGTGAAGCCGACCTGACCGGCCAACCAGGCGCCTGTCTTTTTTCCACTCCTCAATCACCAATCAATTCGCCCGGGATTTCTAACCCCGGTACTCCATATGATACTGTACTCAAATATGGGATATATGCTATCGTGGAGAGCGTGTTGAAGCAGCCCAGCCTCAGCCTGAACCTCCAACATCAACGAGGCCAAACCGCACTTCACCTGGCGGACTTCAGGGCAAAGATAGGGCGGACAGATGCTACTACAAGACAGCGACTGTGTATTCCACGAATACTGAGAGATACGCACTCTTCATAAGCCTGTCTTGACCACTAAGGTGACATGGCTTTTCATAACATCAACGTTCGAGGTTCATGCATGACCACTTACCCGAAATTACAAATATATGCTTTAGTCTTTGCACTGGAAGAGATTCTGCCTTTTACTGGACTATCACTGAGCACGCAATGAGCAAAAATGGAACGATTAAGTGTCAACGGTGATGTCAATTGACCTGTTCTACAACCGTTTCTACATGAGATACACTGTTCAAGTAAACGCTCATATAAATATTTCACCACTAGTGTGAATTACTCAAGAGCGGCCTTTGCAAGGGCTTTCGCCGGACTTTTTAAGTTTCTTGAGAACAGTTAGAATGTATCTAGCAACGAAGTAGACAAAATGGACCAACTGACACCCTCCTCGCCTTCTACTACAAATCAATGTATCTTGCGCTGTGGCGATGTCACAAGTCAGCTAACGCAGACTGGTGTTGCAGTGTTATTACCGTTGATATTGTGGATCCATATATCAATAGGGTAAGCCCGCTGTATGAACAGAAATTCACCGTGCTCTTCCATACACCCATTGCGCATGAACGTTGGCACGGTTGACAGTATGAGCAAAGCACTGTAAACATTCTAGGACTACTAGAAAAGCCTACTTGACGAACCGTCAGCATAACGTTTCCGCCTCGCTTCTGCAGGTCCCAAGGATCACATCTTGTTGTCGCCTCATACGTATTCTCTCAGTTGTCAAATCACCATAGCCTCTGCCAGCCAGTGCATCATTACAATATTTTGTAGGCGCGCAAGAAACAGTCACCCATGTGTTGGTGGACTGACCGAGGTTGAGGGAACCTCGAAGGAAGTTACGAAGAGAAGTTGGAGACGCATTCAATAGCGTACCGAGTCTGATGGGAGGCTCAAAATAAGGTGAGAGGTAAACCAGACACCGTCTCACGAGCCAGGACGGTCAATGCCGTGCTGGACTTCGCCGAGGCGTCACAAAGGTTTTGTGGTCGCGGGCCAGGAGGGCAGCCTAACAGTGGGAACGGCAATTAGGCCACGGTAGGCCTTGACGAGGCTCTAGGTTCGTTTTCAGGAAGTGGAACATTCTACATACTAAAGATCGCGCGAAAAAGAGTCTGTATGTGAAAACACCATAAATCCGGAGGATCTTAAGGCTAATTCATCTTTTTTAACTAGACAAATAATGGTTACTACTCTTTGATGGTCATATCTCACACCTTACGGCCGAATTCATCGAATACTGTCAACAAGCGCATATTATACCCTTCCAATTCATCCCACACGCCACACATCTCCTACAACCTCTCGATGGTAATAGTAAATTCTTCCTTAGTAAGACTTTTAAAGCTCCCTCGGTAATTATAGATATAGATATTCGCTCCTAAGTCTAATATCTAAGAGTCCTTAAAAGGATATCTCTTAGCTATACGGTTAACCTAACGGGAAACGTTAGCTATATATATAGCTACTCTCCTAATCAATCCCTATATCTCTTCGGTTACTACTAGCTAGGTAATAGCCTAGGTAGTACCTCTATCCTCTTCAATCTTCGCGATCTTCTCTTAGTCAAATTTACTAAGCTTCTTAATAGCCTTCGTAACTAGTTCTTCTATCTCGGTTTATAGCTTCTAGTAGTCTAGCCTAATACTTTCGACAATATAATAGTAGAATCTCTAGGGATAGTTTCTTCTATATATGAGATAACGGGAGTGTAAGAGCATGTTCTGTTATTATCGTGAGCGAATGTGTCTATAAGGAACATGAGTGCGGTAAAACACGGCAGAAAGTACCCTTCCGGGGCCGAACATGTAAGGTAAAGGACGGTAAAGTACGCCCCGGATCATATATATATAGGGGGTCCTTTTCTTATCTTTCTAATAATTTTTAGTATCTTACTAACCCTTAGTACTTCCTTACTTAGGTATTATCTCCGGTTAGCTATCTAGTATTAATATAGCTAGCTTTCTAGTCCTTTCCTTTCCTAAACGCTCTAGTAGACTTCTGTTACGCGGTGCCGACTAGTTACTATAAGTAGAGCTCCAAGGGTTATACTTGCCGGGTCCTACTACTAATCCTATGTAACGGATCATCCCTGAGTCACATGATCGTTCTCTTGAGCCAAAAAGACCACTATGTCAACCGACAAGGTTGACATGCTCAGGACCGATACATATAGTAGCGCACAGTTGTAAGCTTAACCCTTTACATCCTAAGTATATCTCTTAATTATACTATTACTTTATAAACCTTACTATAGGGTAGATCCTATTAAATTTCTTATAGAATATACTAGAAGTACATACTAAGTAAGTTAGTTACTAAATATTACTACTAAGTAAGCTCCCCTACTTATAGGTTAGGTTATCTTAAAGTAAACCGTAAAGTATAAATTACTAAATATAGTAACTAAGTAATAATATATAATTAATTACGAAGAACTAAATATATAATACTAAATAAATATCTTTATATATCTAGTCTTTTATAATAGTAGGAGTAATAGATAGTATAGTAGTAGATAGGTCTTAGTATAATCTACCTATATACTAATCTACCCTTCTACTACTAGAGATTACGTACGGCCTTACTGATACCTTATACTTAGGGCGTAATCTTAGTATAGGTAAGATAATAGCTATTTTCGGCGTCGCGCTAGCTGCTTTATCTTATTAGGCTTTCTTAGGGTATACCTAAGTATACCGAGACATATATGATAGCGCTAGTCCCTAGCGTCTACAGGATGATTGGGTTACGGTTGCTCCTTAAATAGCTACGGTCCTCGCGCCTCTCGAGGTCCGTAACACTAGGTCGGAAAAAGTGCCTATCCTACCCCCCCCCCCTACTTTTTTTTACTATAGGAAAATTAACCCTAGGGTACCTACTCTGGTAGGATAGGCACACCCCCGTTGGATAGTCTAAATTTAAATAGGGTAAAGATAGACTACTTAATTAAAACTCCTTAAATTTTGAGCTCGTACAATCTATAAATACTATGCCCATCCTGGGTCGGAAAAAGTGCCCATCCTACCCCCCCCCCACTTTTTTTTACTATGGGAAAATTAACCCTAGGGTGCCCACTCTGGTAGGATGGGCACACCCCCGTTGGATAGGCGATTTCAACGAACATCTCAATCGACGCATCCCTTATAGATGCTCTTGTCGGGATGTTCTTCAGTCTGTGGGATTTGAACATATTTCAACGTTACTGGTCATGCAATGCTGCTCTGCAGGATAGAAAAACCAGATCGATAGAGGAAGTGGAAAGAAATATATCCGGATTTCCACTTTGGTGTTTCCATGATGAATGGTACCGTAGATGAGTACTAATTAAGCCAGCTACATGAATGATGGTGCGATGTCGAAGATAGCCCAACTCCTTAGTGGAAGCGTACTTGACGCTTCCATAAGGGCCATTAAAACATACAAAGCCAGCGTATCTCAAGGAGAAAGAGCAACGGGAAGATGGAGCTTTGTCTAATACATTGGCAAGGACATATATAAATATGGTGGAGTCGTAATGTGGCGGACATGCATGAAATTACCCACCACTCCGGAAGAAGACGTAAGAAGGTAGGAAAGGGCGAGCTAGACGGGGTTTATACTGGCACAGGGACTGATCCATTCCCGTGAGCCGAAGGAAGGCCACTTAGAGCTAACTTCTTCCTCCCTAGATATGATATAAGCTGCTCTAATGACCTACTAGTGAAACATATGTCTCGGTGGGTTTCGCGAGGCCATAGGTACCGGTACCTGGGATAAAGCGTATGGATAAGGTGGACTTGTTTCGATTAAACGCGAGAATTGGCTTAGTACGGGCGATGCCAGTTTCTGAGATGAACTAGCTGGGCGAGGTACCGTGGTCTCTTCCTAATGCAAGAACCGGTGCCATTCATGAGATACTCGCGGATTAGCATGTAGTAACGCAGGTTTTTAGGGTTTGATTCGTTCACGATTGAATTAATTTGATGCAACGGCGGATGTAAGCCGAAGACTTCTATACAGTACTGTACTTGATAATCATTTTACGCCATTTTAGACAGGAAGTGACTGGAGGAGAACATTTCCAGTAGTACGGGGCCACAATACTACTGTAACAGTAATGGCGGCATGTACGGAGTACATATAGGTTAATCGAATTGCTTCTCGTTAGTAAGGGGTAAGTCAACCTTGCGGTTTTCTTCGCCAATAACTTCCCTAATCAGTAATTCTTCCTATTTCGGTAGAACTACTTCTTAAAGGGTTGCGCCCCTTTATAAGAGGTGCTTTACTATATCGCATAATATTGTATCGGAGACGACATAAAGCTGGGCTGTGAGCGACTTTGCCATTCCGCACTGTAATACCAGGCAGTGGCGATATTCTGACCCCACTAAGGTGCCTTCATGATCGACCAAGAGTGTAACAGTTACAGATAAAATCCCTGATTTGAATCAATTCTATAATTAGAGAATCTTGCCGTACTAATTAATAAATAAAATACACTCGAGGATGTAAATACCAGTAGGTGGCTTATACTCGAAAGGGAAAGGTCCCAGGAGTGATAAAGGATGGTACTTTTGCTCTCACATGCCCTACGACTAGGGGTATAGTATGGTATTTTGGGGTGATCCGCTCGGCCGTGATCCGCTCGGGCGTGAATTACGTTAACTATTGGAAGGCTTCCTATTACCAATATCGCTAAACACACATGGGATACAATGCAGTTGGAATGCGGCTCCCCACTTTTCTGGGGGCGGAACGTAGAAATTCTCCGGAAATTTAATTAACCCCGAGGAGCGTATTTGTCATATGTCCGTAATCTCGTTCCCGAGGTGGCGTGTTTGCCAATCCTATGGAGGGCACAGATACTAGCTTCCCGCGGCCCGTTTCAGTGGATCTGGGGCTAAAAAGTGGATCACTGGCTCGTGCGATAGCTCAAGTGGAGTATTTACTCTGATTGGTATACACAGCTGCTAATCTAACGATCTAGAGCATGGGAGAGTCGGTTCGGACCGACGCTCTTTAGGTAAATTTAACTGTGCTCGGTTAGTACAGTCAGTTGGATGAGCCATTCTTAAGGCCCGGAGGCGAAATGTATGATCATCCCCTAGTGGAAATGCCGATCAATTTCTTCCTTGGCACGCGACTGTCCTTCGGTCGCCAGCAACCTCGTATAAGCTTACGATTATATAAAGCTCATACATCGCTCATTATTCGCTCATGCTACCCATCCCGGTACCTGCGTAATTGTCGCTAGGCGAGCGGCACATTTCCAGTATATTTAGAATATACCCCTTTCTCGGTTCGGCAAGTTTCCTACTCTACCACTATCTTCCTAGACAGTGAGCATGCAATCATGGCCCTATAGGCTGGATTAGGTATTACAATGATATCAACCCCCAGAGGCCCAGAAACTGAGTACTGGTCTGTACAGGAATACTCCCAGACAGCTAAGCCAAATCGACGGTTGTGAACGAGTATTTTGGCTAGAGCTCATCCCGTTACCACTTACTCTCCTAAGACACTTCACCAAGCAGAATTAGGCGACTTCATCGTCACACAATAGATGGACCCTACCCCAGAGCCCACTTATCGAGACCAGCTGTTCGAATCAACATATGTGATTTTGGATACTGTAAAATCGTTGGGGCCTAATGATGTTATTGATGTTGTCTTTCTTGAAGATAGTATCCTTGCACTGCATGATATTTTGATGCGCTCCCGATGCGTTCCAACTTCGACACTTGACCCGTTCTACTTGGTCAGCCTTTATGTTTGCCAAGCTCTCACAAACCAAATTACATCCAATATAGACGTATCTGATCTCAAGGATGTTTTGGTGAATGGATACCCGCTTTATCAACTGCCACGAGTCCTCTTGACTCTGTTCCATACGCTTGGAACTTTTCTAAATTTCATATGGTATGATAAACATCTATCTTCAGACAGAAGTTATAATAAAAAATACCATTAGTTTGCGAGGAAAACTCGGCGGGGACACCCGAAAACGATGCTTGACTTGCGTGGCTTGTGCAATTCGTGATCTCCAGAGACACAAAACTCAGCTTGAAGCTCTCGGCAACTCTTTACCTCTTTTGCTGCAATGTTATGTTACAACCTCTTACCTTTTGATGTTCCTTCATCGCATGTATGAAGTTGGCGTCTACACATCCGGGGGAACCTACTGTGAATGCGTCAGCTATGGAAGCAATCGGAAGCTGTCAAGGCATGACGATGTCTTTGTTTTAAGGGTTGGAAAGGATGCCTTGGAACACTTTGCAATCCTTGGCGAATCCTTGTTGGAGGAAATTCGTCGGCGGGCAGTTCTTGCCGATGATGAGATTCTGGAAGATATCTTAAAGCGATATGTAGATCTGGAACGATGCTTCCGGATGGCTTTGAATGACCTTGCGCGCGATCAAGCACTACCCATGGCTGAAAGACCCCCTCCCGTTGTACGTGAGGGTGGTCCAACTTCCAACGCAAAAAACTTTCCAATGCAAAATCTAGCGTACACTATCAACTTCTAATTACCACTACCACCCATAACCATGCCTAAATCGTACGAGAAAGAAGAGGATCAAATTCAAAAGGCCCTAGAAGCTTATAAATCTGATCAAAATCGCAATCTATCGGCTTTGGCGCGCGATTATGGCGTTTCCTACTGGCGGCTACAGCGCAGGGCCAAGGGGATTTCTTCAAAGATTGGCAACCAGAACTGCCCACGCCTACTTACTGAGGCCCAAGAGGGTGCAATCCTAAGGACAATTGATAACCTCCGCCGGTTCAATATCAAATTTAACGGTAGAGATATTGAGGACTTTGCAAATCTCCTACTTTGGCGGCAGTACGAAAGAGACCATCCCGAAGCGACCTTACCGAAAACCTTACCAGTCCTTCCTCGATTAGCTAGGGCTAAGGATCGCCCTCCTAGACTAAAGCTAGTCAATCACTAATGGGCCTATCCGTTTATCAAGCGAGTAGATCCTAATTTAGGGCCAAAAGCTGATGAGATTATCTCATCAGATCGTGCGCGGCTCACTGCCGCAGAAATTCAGAACTGGTTTGACGGCCTAGAACTAGTAATTCGGTAGATAAAACACTATAATATCTACAATTTCGATGAGACTGGCTTTCAATTAGGCCAACAGCCTAATCGGTCAAAGTCAATTGGCCGCAGAAGCGCCTGTGTAGAGAAGGCTAATACTCGAGAGAGCCTTACTGCAATTGAGTGTATATCGGCTGATGGCTTTATAATATCACCCTTCTTCATCTTCGAAGGCTCGGTGATTCTTGAAAGGTGGTTTGAAGAGCCTTTGCCTGATGATTAGGTGATTTCTGTGGCGTCTACTGGCTATATTAACTCGGAGTTGGCATTTGAATGGCTTCAACACTTTGATAAACACACTAAAAATCGCGTACAAAAGAGTATGTTAGATGCAACTACTGGAGATCTGAAGTGTTAAGGCGCTAATCTTATTATTCTTAAATAGATGAGCCACGCCTACTGCTTTTTGATGGGCATACTACACACTTAACCGCCGAATTCTTCGAGTACTGCGAGCAGGCCCGAATCCTACCCTTTTGCTTTATCTCCCACGCTATATATCTCCTACAACCTCTGGACGGAGATGCTTTCTTAACCTATAAGACCTACTTTCGCAGTTGGAATCGTACGGTTATTTAATAGGGTAGTAATCCTACCGATAAAGCTGTTTTCCTCCGTAGTATACGGGAGATTCGTTAAGAGACCTTTACACTATTAATCATTCGTGGAAGCTTTAGAAAGCGTAGAATCTATCCTTTCAACCCTGAATTGATAGTTAAACCTCTTACCGACCGTGAGGAAGAGGATTTCGTACCACTTCGGGGATACTAGATTAATGGGGACGATGCGCGCGGTATAGACCGCACCCGGTCTAACGATTTACCTACCCTCTTATCTAGTTTAATTGAACTACTAAATACTCTACGGAGTATTAAGAAAAGCTTTACTAAGCTACAAAGGGCTATTAAGAGTCCTTTAGGAGATGAATCCGAGAGGAAAGAGAAGGTTGACCGAAGGATTGAGCGCTTATAACGCTTTACTGTCACCGAATTCGAAGAGAGTATCCTTAAGGATTCGGTAATTATGAAGTATAGAAGGGTTCAGACCGAGTACACTTCTACCAGTAGGTCAAAGCGGCAGATTACCAAGGCTAAAGTGCTTACTCCGCGCGATACAAAGAGAAGGATAGCCGAGAGGACTGAAAAAGAGAACCAGCAGTGGGTATAGCGGGTACGCAGAGAGAATGCTCGCAAGGAGGCTATAGAGAGGGAAATCGCTGAGAAAAACCAATAAGCTGCATGGGATGGAAGTATCGAGGGTATGTTTGAGCCCTTTAGCCTTTTCGAGGTAGATACAGAGGGAGATAGCTCGTTAAGGGTATAAATTGGCAGATAGTATAGATTTCGGCTACTCTATGCGCTGGATATATATATAGATGCGATGCGCCATATTGGTCCAATTGAATTGTTTCTTTTTCATATATAATCTAGTACTATTTAGATAATATTATAATTAATTCTCAATGAATTATAGTACGTTTATGGGTGGTGGTGGTAATTGGAAGGTGATAGAGTATGGTAGATTTTGCGTTAGAAAGTTTTTTGCGTTGGAAGTTAGACTAACTACCCTTACCCGTAAGGGGGAGGGTGGTCAAGCTACGGGTAGGTAAAATCTAATTAACCTACGGAGGTCCATCCCAAAAGTCTTTCGATTTTTGCTTTTTCTAGTAATTTTGAATAGTACTAGCGTCGTTTTAGGCTATACCGGTCCTTCTGGCATTTACCCCTCCTTCAATCTCTATCAATCTCTCTAGCAATCTCTCTACTAATCTCTTAACTATGGTTAAATACGATATCGCTACGCGTACTACCGCAATTATGATGTCTGTTTTTGGTGTTGAACCTCGCTATATTTCCGATTGGACTGGTATACCTACCGAAACCGTCAAAACAATCTATAAGCGAGCTGTTGAGCGTGGATTTGATCCTTTAAAACGACCTTTTACCTTAATTGATGCCTACGTCGCTAATGCGTCTCGTTCTGGCCGCCTAAGAAAGCATACGCCTGAGCTTGAGACCACTGTGTTAGCTAAGGTTAGACGTGATCGATATGGACGTGAGAAAACTTGCACTGGCGAGCTACTTGATATTTCAGCTACGACTGTATGGCGTGTGCTAAGGGGCGCTGGTCTAAAGAAGACTAAACCTATACGAAAGCCTGGCTTAACCGACCGAATGCGTACTGATCGATTGAATTGGTGTCTTGAATATTAACATTGGACCCTTGACGATTTTAAAAACGTGATTTGGACTGACGAAACCTCTGTAAACTTACTCTACCGCCGCGGAGGCTATCGAATCTGGCGTACGAAGGATGAGGCTTTTCTTCGAAGCTGTATTCGAGAGCGTTGGAAAGGGAGCTCTGAATTTATGTTCTGGGGTAGCTTTTCTTATGATAAAAAAGGCCCTTATTACTGCTGGCTTCCTGAGACTGCTGCTGAGTGCCGAAACTCTGAGGCTTTGATTGATTCTTGGAACGCTGATCTCGAGCCTAAGCTACGTGCTGAATGGGATCTTACGAGCGGTATTCGCCGGATTAATCTTCGAGGCCAAACACCTGGTAAAAAGCCTGAATGGCGTTTTACTGCGAAGACTGGAAAGCTTACTCGAAGTAAAGCAAAAGGTGGAATTGATTGGTATCGATATAATACTACAATCTTAGTGCCGAAGCTTTTACCTTTTGCTTAAGAGTGTATGATTGATCGGTCGGATACTCTTGTTCAAGAGGATAAAGCGCCTGCCCACGCGTATCAACACTAATAGGTCGTATTCGATCTAGCTAGTGTTTCGCGCTTACTTTGGCTAGGCAATTTACTAGATTTAAATGCAATTGAACCTGCGTGGCTATGGATGAAGCGCTATACAACTAAGAAAGGTGCACCGAAGAGTAGGGCAGAAGCTATAAAGGCGTAGGGTGAGGCATGGTATACACTGCCACAGGAGCGTATCCAACAGTGGATTGAGCGCCTACCTAGGCATATTGAGGAGATTATACGATTAGAAGGGGGTAATGAATATAAAGAGGGCAGGGGGTATAAAACAAGATGAATACTGTTAATAAAACGCCTAGACTAGATTAGGTATGGTAAGAAAAAGCAAAAATCGAAAGACTTTTGGGATGGACCTCCGTAGAGAGGGTCCTTTAAAGCTAAATATCTCCCGACGAACGCCTATACTACTAAGTAGCAGACGAAGTAGTAGATCTAGTTAATTCACCCTAAAGTCGCCTAGGATAGTAGTCTAATTATATAACTAAGCAAGTATCCTTACTTAAGTTGTTACTAAAGTAATAGTTAAATAGCCCTCTAACAATATCGAAGATCTTACTAGATTAGATTATTAAGTGTTACTATCTTGCCTTATATAACACTGAATTACTTGCTTAAGAGAACGCTAATATGAGCGCAGCGAACAAGAAGAAGCGCCAGAAACGCAACTGGTCACATGGAATAATACCCCATAAGGGTAGTCTATCGGTTAAAGAAGGTCTACTACTAGTTAAATAGCTAAAATAGCCGGTGGAAGGTGATAAGGTAGTATCGCATACGCAGGGCGAATTACCTATGCAGGCAGATCCCCCACGTACTAGGGCATCTCCTAGGTGTAGTCGGAGTTGGGAAATTGGTCACAAGATCAAAGAATGTAAAATTCGCTTTATCTAGATAAATTAATAGATATTGGTTGAGATAATCGATTTTGAAATTCTTGATGCGTAGGAAGTGACCAGGACGTGCGATAATTACGTTAAGACTTCTTTAGTAATATAGTACTTCAGGGTAGATATGCAAAACCAAAGTATTTGACAAGAAGCCAGCAACACGACTAGAATAACATAAATGACTATCATAATGTCGTCAGCACCCGTGCTTCAAATTGCTGACAAAAGCCGGCTTAAAAACCCCGCTACCCGCTGTGCATATCTGCCCTCTTGCTATGCCAGTGTTAGTAAAAGATGCAATCCTCGAATAATCAATAGCGGACCAAAGTAGAGGATATGCTTACCATCATGGAGAAATGATCCGCTCCATCTACCTTATCCACAACCACCTCAGATCCCGGGAACAATGAACCCCAAATTCCCGATGAGAAATCCTTCCGTGCCTCAGTGAGGAACTTCATATCCTCCGTGTCGTCAGGATGCGGTGCCGGTCGAGCGCATCTCTTGGTATCAAAGACGCTCTGACTTGCCCAGATGATTCCTGTCCTGCCGGGACCTCCACCTACCGCAAAAGGCGTCGCGTAGTACCCATTGAGAATGTCATTGGTTTTCTTGAAATGTGGAATAAGCCATTCGGGAGCTTTGCCCTCTTGGCCGAAGATGCCCATCGCGTCGCAATGATCGAAGAAATGCTGCGGCAGCTTTCCCAATCCCATTGGCGGAGGGGCATCCAGCAGGATTAAGCTGGGAACTTGCTCATTGCAAGCGAGAAGCATCTGAGCCGCCCGGTAGGACAGAATACCACCCGCGGACCAGCCGCCGAGGTGATAGGGTCCGGTAGACTGGCGTTTGCGGATTTCTTCCAGATAGCTTCCCACAAGCTCGTCTACAGTGCAGTGCCCCTTGACGTCTTTCTTAAGGAAGGGCGAGTTGAGACCAACGACGGCAACATTGGCCGCGATACGTGGCAGAGAGGCGTATGAGGTGGCTGAACCTGAGCCGTCGGGAAAGAGGAACAGGATCTTCTCCGCATTTCGGGGCGAGCCTTGCAGGACGACAGACGAGGCGTTTAGGATGCAGGCTTCGAGTTCAGGAGCAGATAGCTCGGACTGGGGCGTTTCAGCGACCGAGCTGACGCTGTCACTGGAAGGATATGAGGACGAGAGAGTGGAAATGGACGAATTGGACAGA